GTAGGGAAAGTGAATTTTTCCCTTTTTTTTTTTTGAGACATGCTTGATGTACACTCTTTAGTCTTTGGTGTACATCATGCATGACATTCCTCTCACAAAGGTGGGGGCCCCACAATTTAAAAAAACATGGGCTCCACACACATTTATGAGAGGAGTGTCAAGTTAATGTATACAAAAGTGTACAAATGGCTTTTACCTTTTTGTTTTCTTTTTCGTATTTTCGATGTAAAATACGAGAAATTCGTTGAAAATTGAAATAGACTTTAAATTCATGTTTGACAATTTTTTTGTAACTTATAAATAATTTACATCTCTCTTGATTTGAAACGATTATTATTTTAATATAAATTAGGATATATAGACATTACTTTATGCAATACTCAATAATTTTGAGATATTGACAATGAACAATGCAAATAATATTTCACCCAATTTTTAACAAAATAAATTATTTATATTGTCTTGGTACAAAGTTTCTCGATCTAAAAAAATTTTTAGTCGAGTTTTCAGGATAAAGATAAAAATAAGTGATTAATAATTTAATGATTGATGTGCATAGCCAACCCAATTATCAACAAATTACAACTTTGACCCTACATTTGAACTTTGGGATCATATTCTCATTTGGTTCGATTTTCACTTCAAGGTGCATAACTAAATTCTAATTCAAATTCAAAATTGATATTTAAAATCTCCCAACTAAGTCATAATGTATATGAACGTATTCAAAATAATCAACGATTTTGTCACCTATACGAGAATATGTAAACACGACCATAAAAAAAAAAATATATGCATTTGCATTTTCAAATTAGTTTGAAGAATAAAAGATCATCATTAGACAAAATCAAAACATTCATTCTAATAGTTTGATTTCCTTTTTAACCATAAATAGGGTGGAAGAGAAAGAAAATATAATATTTTAAAAACATAAGCAGAAGTAATTAAATTGCTGAGTTAGCATGTCTAAAAAAATTTCCGCACCTAGACGTCCATCTATTGTCTTATTTTTTGTCTATCATATCAATTTGACAGAGTTCGTGTATGTTGACTTGCATACTGTCTACTTTTTTCTCATATAACGAATACCCTCACTCTATATATATGTACACACATATCTCATCTTCTTCCTCTCAAGTCTTCTCATTACTACTAGTCTTTGTCCGTGCAATGCAACTTAATTTTGAAGGTAATGTTAGTGAGTTAAATGTGTCGGATTATCGTGGAGTACATTTGGAAAATAAATAAATAACTCTAGCATAAAAGTCCTTACAATGAACTAAGGAAGAGAGATCTGAAGCAAAACTACATCTTCAATCTCCAACATCATATGAGAATAGCTGGAGCTCTTACCAAACTAAATTAGGTTTCGTTTGATAGCCTTAGTTTTCCATGGAAAATGAAAACATTTTTCTTTTCTATCCTTAAAAAGTAGCTTGAGAGATAAATTTTTCCATGGAAAACGTTTTCCACCTTTTTCTAGGTACAATCATTTGATGCACAAAAGCTTGATTTTGTTTTCCCACCTATTAGTTGGGAAAACATTTTCCACCTTTTTTTTTAGCAAAGGCAACCAATTCTATCAACTATTGTAAAAAGAATTTTCATTTTTGTTGACAATTTCTATGTAAAACAAAGTCAAACGAATATGGTAATTTTTTCTAATTGTTTAAATTTTTTTTTTTTTTACTTTTTGATAATTAGAACAAATTCTAGACGTATTGGTAGAAAAATTATCACTTTAATGGATAATTTTTATAAAAAAAAAAGCCAAACGGACACCAAACTTTCAACATTTTTCAGGTAAAAAATTATACCAATCAAACACAATTACTTACAATTCCCAGGAAAACATTTTCTAGGAAAATCTTTTCCCTGTAAAACATTTTCTTTCCACCCATTTTTCACCTTTGCAATCAAACGGACCCTTAGAAAAATTATTTCACACATGGTTGGAAAATCAAACTTTGTCAACTACATTTTCAAAACTTTCTCCCCGGTCCATGATTGGCTTTAGATAAAGAGAAGTGTTATGTGCACACAATAGTTTACACAATTTTTTACACCCCTCACATGAAGAGGGGTCCACATACAATAAAATATTTGTGGGCCCCCCTCCATGTGAGGGGGGTGTAAAAGATTGTGTATACCACAAAGTGTATACATAGAATAATTCTTAGATAAAAGATAGTATCAATTCGACCAAAAAATTCAAAATTGAAATGGCACTAAAATGCAAGTCTCAAACTTACGAAAAATAAAATAGTTCGTGAAACAGGAAAAGGGCTCTTGAATAAATAAATTATGCGACAATTAAATCCCATAAAAACTTCATAACAAATCAAAAGATTTATAGACTAATTTAAATCCTAAGGCGTAAGACTGTTGGCTAATTTCCTTAACAAAGAATTGGAATCGTTCAGTTTGATTTTAAAAAAAAAAAAAAATTCAAAGTCAAAACGATAATAAAACCTACTTCCAAAAAAAAAAAAATTCGAAATCCGATTGCATTTCTTTTGGTTGTCTTGCTTTCAGCTTCATGATTCTTATAGATTAACGATTGTTGAAATAAGAGTTGCTGGGTTTTAATTCTTTCTCTTGTAAATATGGTAGGATTTTGAAGAGAAGTGAGCCCAAGAAAAGATGGCTTCTTCGGACGACGAAGGTGAAGAGATCTCCACAACAGTAAAATAACAATTTAATGAGATATATAATTATACCAAGAGAATATTAAACACCAAACCATGAATAGTCATACCTGCTTCCAGTAGACAATTGAGAGAAGAAATATCCTAACCGATGGCTTAGTCGGACCTTACACAATATTAATGAACACAGGTAAGGTTAAAGTCATACAAATGGATCAAATAACATAAGAATTAGAATGAATTAGCATCCATTTTCATGCCTGAAGGTGCTGATCTCTATAAATGACATTTGAACACAACGTACAAAACAAATTTACCAAGTCATACTTCATATGCTTTAAACCATAACCAAAAGTATAATTTAATTTTAATAAAGCAGAGTGAGAATAGACACAGAAGTAGATAACCGTAAAGTATAATTTAATTTTAATAAAGTAGAGTGAAAATAGGCACAGAAGTAGATACCATGGTTAAAGGTTTTGAGGTCCAGAATTGTATAGAAAATAACACGCAGAATCAGAAATTATGATCCCTGAAAATTTTTTCACAATATTTTCCTGTTCTATTCTTCTGTACAGGTTTCGAGTATCAGCATTTGCAACCTGTGCTATTAAAATAGTATACAGCACAAAACTAAATCATGACAGATTTTCAACAACCTGAAAAATAAGATGTTTATAGCTTCCATGATGATGGCTCACGTGCAAGAGCTCTTTCGATGCTCCTTCGAAAGCCTAACTGACCAAAAACCCAATGAAAATATTGAATAAAAATTTGGTTGAAAAAGAGAAATCATGAAGTTGAAGCAAAAATAAAAAATCAAACGAGAGAATAAATAAATAAGCGAACCTAATCTGTAAAATTACATATCTACAATGAACATTCTGAAATCTCATCCTGTATACACTCAAACCCTTAAAAAAAAAGACCCTGAAAATTGTAAAAAGAAGAAGAAATTTTCTGAGAAAGTAAAAAAAAAAAAAAAAAAAACGCACAAACAAAAACACNAAAAAAAAAAAAAAAAAAATCGCACAAACAAAAACACGAAGAAATTTTACCTTTAAAATACCACAGTAATAAGCAAATCTCTATTATGGAGAAAAGAGGAGCAGAAAAAGACGATTTTCTATGATTGATTTTTTAGCTCAAGAAGAATACACTGCGTACTGATAGTCAATAGAGATAGATACAGTGGAAGTACATAGATAATAGTTTGGGCTACAGTAAAATTTCACAATTACGAACCGCGCTCATTAATGATGTGGACCCACGATTGGAAAAAATTGAAACCAAATACATGTCCCGTGTTGCTTTTCTTCCAATTTAAGCATCAAAGTGGAAGAAAACTTCAACATCGACAAGTGTGAACACATTAAATTAGAGAAAGAATAAATTGGCTACAATGAAATTTCACAACGCCCAACACCACTCATTAATGTGGGCCCAAAATTGGAAAAAATTTGATACTCCCTCTGTCATCGTTGTGGTCCAGTGATTTGAGGGAGAAGAGGGACGGTGGTGGTGCCCGTGAGATATCGGGTGGTCACGCCAGTGATAGAATGGAGAGAAAATTGGTCGGTCGGTATGGGGGGAGAGAGAGAGAGGGGAGAAAATGAAAAAATTAGGGTTTGATTGTGTGTAGGATTGATTTAAATAAAAAATAATTTAAAAATTATTAATTAAAATCTGATTTATGTATTTATAAAGTTGAGTTTCATTTTTCTCTTGTCCCAAATATATAAGTTTGTTTCGTAATGTAGAATATTTTGTTGTATTATTTTACTAATATACACTTATTAATTTTTCCCCACTTAATATGCAAACTTCATGAAAATTCAAATTCTTTATTAATTCCAACAATAATTTAGTTTTATACACTGAAAATTAAATAGGGATAAATTTGGAAAGATATTGAAAAAAATTAATTTTTCAATAATATTAAATAAATTTTCTTAATTCGTGTGAAAAACTAAACAAATCTATATAATTGTGACGATGGAGTACATTTATTACCTTTATATATATGGCAGTCAACAAGTGAGGCTCCACTATACAAGCAACAAAAAGCAAAACTCGTTTTCAAACCGGCTAAGTGTGAACACGTACCATAAATGATCATCCTCTCTTTTATATGAGCAAGGAAAGGATAATGATTATGGGGTTATACTACAAGTACATTGGAGTATATATAATACTTTAAATAATGACCAAGTGACTTTTCATTATCGGAGGTGGAAAACGCTGTTTGTCCATTAGCCAACAAGAAAAGGCCACTTGTTAGCCTGCAGAATTTCAACTTTATAAATCGCTTTTAGCTACCAAAATTCTACAAAAAGAAACTAGCCCACAAAAATGGCCGATGGTGGTTTTGGCCCTGCTTCCGGCACCGGAAAAGAATATCCTGGCAACCTTACTCTCTATGTAACCGTTACTTGCATTGTCGCCGCCATGGGTGGCCTTATTTTCGGCTACGATATTGGAATTTCCGGTACGTATAAATATATTGCATATCTGAATATAGTACTAGACAAGATAATGAACAAATCCCGGGTTTTTGTTTACAGGTGGTGTGACGTCTATGGATTCGTTCTTGGAGAAGTTTTTTCCATCTGTTTACAGGAAGGAAAAAGCTGATGACTCGACAAATCAGTACTGCAAATTCGACAGCCAGATGTTGACTATGTTTACATCGTCCTTGTACCTGGCTGCACTTTTGTCATCGCTTGTGGCCTCCACAGTTACGAGAAAACTTGGAAGAAAATTGTCGATGCTTTTCGGGTGTGTCCTGTTCTTCGCCGGAGCTTTGATCAATGGCTTCCCACGTCATGTTTGGATGCATATGGTTGGCCGTATTTTTATTGGCCGTATTTTGCTTGGTTTTGGTATTGGATTTGCCAATCAGGTAAGAAAATATTAATATTAATTTTAATTCACGTTAACCGTTAAAAGCGACTTTTAAACAGTGTTCTAAAATGCGTAATGTGTTGCGATGCGTTGAAGTCGAGAATCAAAAATCATAAGTTTAGAATCGACTATGCGAAGAATAAGCGCCATAATGCGTTCGTATTTTTAAGGCATTAAATATATTTTTATATAAAAAAATAGATTTTTTAATATATCAATAAAAAAAATAGATTTAAAAAAAAGGGGGGATTAGGAGGGATAATGCGGGCTTTAGGCGCGCATAAGGCGCTCATTAGGCACGCATTTTAGACGGAAAACGCATTTTTCGCGCATTTTCCAAATTTGACGCGTTTTCGACCCCGTGGAAAAAAAAAAGCAACCCATGGAAAGGCTTTTCTTTCACCACATTTAGGGAAAAAGGGCGCTTGAAGGGATGGCTAGGAAAATATTTTCTTGACAATTGTTTCCTCATCAAACAGCAAATTGTGGAAAAAATGAAATTTATTTTCCATTTTACTTGAAAAAACTACCCAATCAAGCACGACCGTAGTGCAACTTGCACTCTGCAAGTTACTTGTACAGAACAAAAAGGGTGTTTTCCAAGTGATGTAATAATTTGAAAGTGATGTAATAAGGACAAATTTAATAAATTGACTTGAAAGTGGCCTATTTATTAAAAAATACCATCTTAAGATTAAGGTATATTCTTTGTTGTCAGGATCTAACAAGGAAGTTTTCATTCACCAAACGAGATTTAATAGGGCAAAATTGAAGTAAAAGATCACCCAACAAAAAAACAAGATTTAAAGTAAAGAAAACACAAGAGAGAATTAATCGAAGAAGAAAATGATTTTATTTCAACCAACGGAGAGCATAAATTATACAATGCATATAATGCTTTAAAAAAAATGAAGGGAGGAGCTACATATTTATAGGTGCAAACCAAACCATAAATACGGAAATAATATAAAAATAACGTGGAATAGTGGAAATAATATTTTTCTAATATAATCACGTGAAATGAAAGGAAACAATATCACGTGAAAAGAAGGAAACAATATTTCCTAACATTTTTTCCAATAAAACAATGTGCAAAGAATGGAAAAAATATTCTCAAAATATTCCACATAATTTGGGTCACCAAACCTATCAATCTCCACCATGACACAAATTTCGATACATCGAACTAAGCAACAAAATTTCTCCACCTGAAAAAATAAATCTGACTGCATCGAAATGACAAAACACTTCAATCAAAAACTTCAAGTCTTCCTTTTCCCAAGTATCCAACAAGATACATGAACCGCCCCTGGTTCCCAAAAATTCGACCATGAAAACAATCAACCAAATGGTATCCACAAATTATACTCGAACTTACACACCGAGTTCCCAAAATTCCTCAATGAAATTCACAATCAACCAAACAGCGTAGAAGCACACCCTGTAACAGAATCATCACCTTCACGAACTTGACTTCTAACGAACCTGACACATCATTTTCAAAAACCACAAAAACACACAAACCCACATTTGGACTGCACCTATCCTCAATGAGTCCTTGCCTAGCAATAGAACACGATGGAACCGCGGAAACATGTGGCAAAGCGGGATTACCCATATCAACCAAACTCTCATGAGTAGTGTTCACCAAATTCCTCTCAAAGCCAAAACCCAATGGTACTGTACCAAACTTAATATCCACCCCGGTACGAAACCTGTCCAAATGTCTTCTAACTGGCTCGCACGCCCTTGTAAGATATACGATTGAGACATTTTCGTCCATCAAGTACCACCCGAGCACCACTACGGACCTTCAAGACTCCACCTCTACCGGAGAACGTATATCCCTTTGAATCTAGGGTACTCGATGAAATGTGGTTCTTACCTAAGTCTGGAACATGTCGAACATGGCCAAGTGTTCTAACCGTCCCATCCAATAACTAGGGACGTCAATGGATTGGATTTTGATCCGAATCCGATTTGAATCCGACGAAATTAATGGGAGATGGATTTAGGGTCTTAGTCCGATAATACGATCAAGATCCAAATCCAATAATTCGTTAACTAAATAGATCAAATATGGATATAAGTCAATCCAATTCGATAACTATTCGATCCGATTTGTTATAAATAATTGAGTCGGTAAAATATTTTTATGACATATTATTTGTCATTAAAATAAATAAATTTAGAATAAAAAAGTAATCAAATTTAAAACATAAAAAGTTGAAAAATTTATAATTATTAAACCTTTTTAAGAATTGGAAAATTTGAAAAAAAAAAAGTTAATTTCAACCAAAGTTTTAAAAACCGAACTAGGCATCGACCCGGAAAAGGAAGGGGGTCAAGGGTAAAAAAAAGTCGGATCGGTTGTGAAATTAAATAAATAACTATACACATATATGTAAAATATAATAAAAACAATAGATTTTTTAAAAATTTTAGTTTACTAATTTAAAGTAAATAAATATCTATATTTTTCATAATTAAATTTATTATTGTAATTTATTTTACAACTTCAAAAACTAATAATTAATATGTAACAAATAATTTGATTTGTTAATGAAAATAATGAAATAAAATATTTATATTTAAAATTGAAATTTAATTTTACCTTATCCCACGTCGAATGTCAATAGAAAATTAGAAGATGATCTTTCCTTTAAAAATGAACATCATGATGGTAGAAGTCACTATTGGGCTTGCTAGTAAAAACATGTGGGCCTCAAGTTAGTTCAATTTTATTTAAAGAACATTGATTTTTTTCCTAATTTTTATTAATTTTGGATCGGATTATCGGATCGGATATCCAATAACACAGCAAATTGGATATAGATTTAATAATCAAATATCCGTTGGATTATCGGATCGGATCTGATAATTTTCTAGTTATTTTACGTGTTTGTATTATGTCAGAAGTGCACAATTTGTGTTAGGGTAAAATTTGTAATGAACTAGGAGTTTATACTTAAGTAGGACTAATATTTCTAGGCCCGACCTCATAATAGACTCGAACTCGAAATCAGCCCAGTTGGAGTGGGCCAAGATTGGGCCTACTAGCTCAAGTTCGGGTCAAGTAACTCTAGCTTGGGCCTATCAATGTTTTTTCCGCATCAATTTTTATTTTTATTTTTGTAGATTTGAATGAAGTTAAATATATGCTTAGGATTTAGTAACTTTATATTTATTAGTTGATTAAGCAATGAACTTTTGACAATTGATATTGGTAATATGTGAAGTTTGAGTAAAAATTAATGTTGTTTTGATTACGTAGTCTGTCCCTATATATCTGTCTGAAATGGCTCCATACAAGTACAGAGGAGCACTTAACATTGGATTCCAATTGTCCATCACCATTGGTATCTTAGTAGCCAATGTGTTGAATTACTTCTTCAAGAACATCCACGGTGGATGGGGATGGAGGTTGAGCTTGGGAGGAGCTATGGTGCCTGCCTTGATTATCACGGTCGGATATTTAGTCCTTCCTGAGACACCAAACTCCATGATCGAACGTGGCAACCAAAAAGAAGCCAGAGATAAACTGATAAGAATCCGCGGTACTGTCAATGTGGACGACGAGTTTAATGATCTGGTAGCAGCTAGTGAGGAGTCGAGGAAGGTGGAGCATCCGTGGAGGAATCTCCTGCAGAGGAAGTATAGGCCACATCTTACGATGGCCATCCTTATTCCCTTCTTTCAACAACTAACCGGGATTAATGTCATCATGTTCTATGCGCCGGTTTTGTTTATAACAATTGGGTTCGGAAGTGATGCTTCTCTTATGTCGGCTGTGATTACTGGTGGTGTCAATGTACTTGCTACCTTGGTTTCGATTTATGGAGTCGATAAGTGGGGAAGAAGGTTCCTTTTCCTCGAGGGTGGCGTCCAAATGCTCATCTGTCAGGTATCTCATGTCACTCGCTTTGATTTTCAACAACGTTATTTTCGTTATTATAAGTTTTGGTACGATTACTTACAATGTATTTTCCTGTGATCTATGTTCAGATTGCTGTTGCAATATGCATAGCTGTGAAATTTGGTGTTGATGGGAATCCTGGTGAGTTACCAAAGTGGTATGCTATTGTGGTGGTACTCTTTATCTGTGTATATGTTGCTGGATTTGCTTGGTCTTGGGGTCCTCTTGGCTGGTTAGTGCCCAGTGAAATTTTCCCACTCGAAATTCGATCAGCCGCACAAAGTATCAACGTCTCAGTGAACATGCTTTTCACATTTGTGATTGCACAAATCTTTATGACAATGCTTTGTCACTTCAAGTTCGGGTTGTTCTTATTCTTCGGATTTTGGGTGGTTATAATGACGATTTTCGTATTTTTCTTCTTGCCTGAGACAAAGAATATTCCGATCGAGGAAATAGTTATTGTTTGGAAACAACATTGGTTCTGGTCCAGGTTCATGACAGATGTGAATTATCCTAATGGATCAGTTGAATTGGAGAATGACAACCGTGCTTTCAAGAAAGTATAGAAGCGACTTGATCTATTGCTGCATGAGGATTGGACTAGGAGTGGTTTATTAATGTGTGGATTTTGTTACTTGTATACAAATATTAATCCATCTCCCAAGTATTTTGTTTTTAGAATTGTGCTTGTTTCATTTTCCTTGCAAAAGTATTTATATGTTACCAATCCAAAACCACAAAATAATTTATGAATTAATTTAAATTTTTGTTGGCTATATCGTTTGTGTGAGATTATATTACTGAATTTACTAAATTTCGACATGCACGAAGCTAAGACTCCATGGTAAAACAATAATAGCAACTTTATACCAGTCGAAACATAACACGACATTAGAGTTGTCCTCTTCATTCTACTATATTGGTCTCGGCCGGTCGGCTTAGTTCCTACATTGTCCTACTTTTGCTACTAAATAGACCGATAGTACGAAAAACATGATTTTAATTCTTGTTTAATACTGTACGAAAAACATGAAAAACAATGTTCAAATCTTTTAAACTCTTTTAGGACAGAACTCTTCCCACACCATCGACTTATCCAATTTTGAAAAGGTTCATAAATTTTATCACGGTCTTGCAATAAAGATAACCACATATTGTGGATAAAATGGATCTCCTCTTTTGCCTTTACTAACAAATGAAATGAGAGTCATTTGGATCACGTTTTTGCAAGAAATGCAACGGTCATGAATCACATGATTTGTCACACTTGTAGTGAAGTTTGAAGGATCTTAGCCTCTTGTAAATTAGAGTTTTGGATAGAATTGAATAGGTGGAACCTTGTATTCATGTACGTTCCAATCACTTTCATTTATTTTATTGGTAAGTTCAAAGAGCAATTTTTTTTTATTCGCATATGTTCCAATCCCTGTCATTAATTGTATAGGTGGTACCTTGTATACGTCCATATTCTAACTTTACTAGTTGCACCTATTTCACACTCAATTTCACGTCAGCTATTGAAATATAGGTGGTACCATGTATACGTCCATACTCCGCACTTATTTCACGCTCAATTTCACATCTGCTTTACAATATATGGTTAAAAATAAATTTAGAGAAAAATGAGTTTTAAGAAATATGGGCCAAAAAGGGGACAAAGTGTCACTTGCCATTCACTAATTTTTTTCATTTATTTGCTAGAAGTTGGGCCTCGTAAAACCAAACTTGTGGAGTCTCCAAACAGGAGGAAAAATTTAGGGGATGTTCTTTTTGTGTTTCAATTTTTAGTTTTGAGTTTTGTGTTTTGAGTGTCCATTTTGATATTGATAAAAAAGCGTTCTTTTTATTACTTTGAAAAATTGATTTCAAAAATAAAAAAAACGAAGTTTTGGCTTGGTTTTAACTGAAAATAGCCAAAACGACTTTTTTGGCGATCTCCGTTTTCTTTGCAAATTTTAAATTCGTTTTTGAAAATTCGTTTCTGAAAATAGATAAGTAAACGTGCTTTCAATATTTTCGAAAATTGAAAATAGTTTGAAAACAGTAAAGAGAACATGACATTAGTCTTGTAGTTTCAAAAAAAATGGTTTATATTCATTTCCTTGGTTGGAGCGTTCGCCTTCACTAGGAATGAAATATTGTTATTAGTAATTATTGTTTTCGTAAATTTCAACTCTCGCTAATTAAATTTCTGGGTGCGTCCCTGATTTCAACAATTTGATTATCAACTTATACGCTTGGAATACACTAATCAAAATAAACTAAATGTAGTAATTCATATAATAGATTAGATTAACAAATAACAACAAAGGGAAAACTAGATTGATTCCAACATATATCAAGCTCTTTATTCCAGAAATAAACTCCGAGTTTCTCAAATTCTCATTAATTCAGTTAATTTATTGAGCCATTGACACTGATCCACTGGCCAACAAAGAGTGCAGTACAATTCAGATTGGGGTTGATTGCACCAAAGAATTCAGTGGTCAAATTGAAGGTCTGAGCAATCTCAAAACAAGTGTCTCCACTCTTCACAGGTTCGGGTTGGTGGACTTCCCCCAATAAAAGGTGCATTTCAAGAAAATTAGATTGAAGGGGAAATAAAAATCTCGTTTACTCAAAAACTTCTGAACATTTATGTTTAGGAGAGTTGCACAACTGTTCTTCGATCTATTAATCAAGTATCAGTTTACAATGAAAATCATCCAAATCTTTTGTTAGGATTGATACCACTTGTTGTGACACCAATCACCAAATTGAGATGTTGAAGTTATATGGCAAATAATAATGAAATATATGATCAAACAAAAGAATTATAAAGACAAGAATATGACACATGAATTAAGAGATTTTATTGATCAAGAATAATGGAGAAGAGAGAAAAATTACAATGGATCCTAAAGTTCTAGTAATATATTTCTCACACTATAAAATTGTATAGAAAAATCAAGTATTTATAGAGAACATGTAGGGAATGTCCAAACCCTCTTAGTAGAGTTGTTGATGAAGTATGACATCAAAAATCGAGTCCAAAATAAAGTACGAGAAGAAAACGCAAAAAAACCCGAACAACATAGGTGGAGTTGCGGCGCCGAGCGTTGGGCAATCTGAATTTTTTTTTTTTCAAATTATTTTCTCCATCTCAAATTATTCTTCAAGTCCAATACTAATTTTCAACTCTCAATGGGCATCCAAAATAGAATTTCAACTTAACATAAAACTCCAATAGAATTCCAAATTGAATTTTTCATGATGTACACTTCAATTAGAATTATTCAATTACTTCAACAAGGAATTCGGGTCATACTGAAATTCTAACACCTTTATTATGTTGTCATGTCACCCTCACGTGTCAAACTTTTTGAAGATAGATTTTACTTTCGACTTGGGATGGTACTTAAAAATTTTGAAGTGAGAGGGAACATTACAACTTTGATGCGAATTTGGGCGATTTCTGTATTGAGACTAACGCAAGCAACTTAAATGTGAATACTTGCCATTTGGTATGTAATAAATCATTGACCAATGACGCATATTTCCTCGCACCTTTAGATGAGATAATTATTCAATACTTACAACCGAGTATTGACCGACTTTCGACTGTAGCAATAACAAGAATGAGTGAGAGTATGAAACCCATGTTTAGGAACTTGGCTATATAATTGCTTGCCATGGCCATCTTTGATTTGATTTATCTTCGTTTTTGCTTTGGTGCAAATGTTTTTCTTTGAAATGGCTCACTTAGAGACTCCTATTTATAGCAAAATTTCATAAAGAATATACAAAAAAATGCACTGTTATTTGGGCATGCAACAATGAAAACCCGTAGGATGAATCAAACTAGCTAGGAAAGCTGGGAATAATCATATACAAAATGTTAAAACTTATATTTTAGATAAATTTAGAATCGACTATGTGAATCTATTTTTGTTCTTCATTACACATACTTGCAGGCAGCTCCGACCAACGGAGAATATTAATCAACAATAAGAAGAGATTGCCTAAGTACGTGGCCTAATGTTAAAATCATCTTCTCTCCTTCATCTCAACTTGGGCAACCATCTTCAATCTTTTCGTGCATCTTAGTCGGCCGATAAGCTTCAGATTGTTAAAGATACAGAAATATTTCCATATTTTCTAACACGAAAAACCCGATTTCTGTAATCTTTAATTCTGAGTCCAGCAATTCATATACATGACCTTCTGAAGGGATTCATCGACCTGTTTTTGCTTATGGTCTCTTCCTTCACGTCTACCTGAATCTTCATAATCGCCATTGATAAAGCGCGGACGATGATTACCACAACGACGAGTTCTTAAGCTGAAACCATATTTCCCACATTGATCGGTTTGCCCTTCTACCATAGCCACAGTTGCAGTCATGCAAAATTTGGTAAAAGAACTCATTTCTTAATTTCTTTAATCAAAAGGAAATGGAATGGATTAAATTCATTGGTGAGATGAACATTTAAGGGATAATGTAGATGAATTTATAGGGTGCAGGGACTGAAATTTCTCAGTTGGCGTAGACAGTGGTTTCAAGAATTTCAAGTAGTTAAAGGTTTTTTCACATGTATTTGTGAACGCCCACAGAGACAGTGCTGTCCAATGGTAATTCAGCAATTTTGTCGTGTATGGATTTTAGGTTTTGGTTTCATAGATTCTCTCTCACTTTGTGTCACTTTACGAAACCATAATTTGATAATCTAATGATCGAAGTTGAACAAGATACCGCGATTTCATTATCTTGCTTTCAAAAATAGGTTCTTACGTATTACTCAACCGTACACCCGCTAAAAGCATAAAACCATCGTGGGCCGAATTTTTTTCCTTCCAACATTGGATCCTATTGGAATGAACAAATCACACATCAGCATTGAATTCATAAATCCCTTGTCCTATGAATCAAACAAACTTGGGGGAAATCAAAACAAGGACCACATAACAAACTGGATAAATTCAATTAAATAATTTGTGAATAAGGTACAAGGTTGTCATCATCAAAAAAATTGGCTAACGGCCCATAGAATGGCAAAATATTACAAACGTTCACCGATTTCGAGTCTGCATTGATTAGGGTATCGGTCCTTGAGGTCATGAATGTACACTCTCGCGTCATACGATTCTGTCCAAGAATTGAGACTTCCCCTTTTGTTCGATCAACTCATGTGCAGAGAGATTCATCGAGTGTCAAAAATTAACATCATCAATTGAACATTCTTCTTACTCTGAGTCTGATATCGCTCCCAATAGATTTGTGAAGATATTTGCAAACTCAATTTGTCGACTTATACTAAAGTCATTTTCTTTCCACACATTTCGAAAAAATCACAAATACTTCTCATTTATTTACTATTTATTTACAATTTAAACCTTTTATGAACACTTCATATATAGACATGCTCCTAATCAAATATAGCCCCTGTTTGAGCCATATTAAAATTCTCATTCTCATTTTTTTTACTTATTTTCTATCAGACATTTTTCAATAAAATAATATTTTTCATCACATTGATAACTTTTCATTCTTTTTCAACCACACATTCTCTATCAATCTACTATTCCA